TCCTCTCCCTCTTTCTCCAGCTTTGGGTCCTCCTCCCTCCCTCTCTCTCTTTTGGCTCGCTGTCTTTCCCCCTTTTCCTCCTCCCTCTCTCCCTCCCTCCTCTTCTCCGGGTGTCCTCTCCCACCCCCACCCCCCTCCCAAGGGTGTATCACCTGCAACCCTAGGATGGGGAGGGGGTCTCCTCGCTGCCACCAGGTTGGGGTGTCCCTGACAGATATGGGCAGCAATACGGAGTTTTCTCCCCTCCTTTTTCAAAAACTCCCCTTTATCCTCCAAGGAAGATCGTGAAGGCATATTTTACTCCTCATCCCATATAAAAGCCCCCCCCCCGCGCACTTTTTGCTCCGTTTCACTCTTTTGCACAACTGGCCTGTCTGGAAAAGCCACCCCTTTGCAACAATCCTTATTCTCTGTTTAAAGAGAAAAAGCACGTACAGAGAGAGAGAGAGAGAGCATCCCAATTCTCATCTATATCTAGCAAATGGTGCTGGCTGGATAATTGAGCGGTTTAGGCATCGGGCTGTGAGTTCGATTCCTCACTGTGCCTCCTAGGAAAAGAGCCAGCCTGGGTGGCCTTGGGCCAGCTGCACAGTCCTCGGGCACCCCGGAAGGAAGGGAATAGTAAACCACTCTTCGATATTCTCTACCTGGAAAACCCTAGGAAAAGGGTTGTCATAAATCAGAAATGACTTGACAGCCCATGATGGCCAGCTTCGGTTGCGTTGCTTACGATCAAGAAACGGAAGGTCTCCTATTCCTTGTTTTTTGGTGTGTCTTATTGGCAAGGCCGGCTCTACCGACAGACAGAGGGAAGCAGCAGACCCTGGGAGACGATAGGAATGGAGTCGATTAGAAAGTGATGTGCTGCACAATTTTTCTTGTGCTAAACATCTGCCTCCAGATGTCATGAACCGACTAGTTGCTACTGTTGAATAAAAATCAGAACAGCAGAACTTCTGGACATGGGGTGGAAGAGGACAAGATATGCTGTTCCTCAGGCAGCGTAACATGATGGGCTGCTCCCGACAAAATGAGGAAATTCCCAAGACTCTTTAAAGAGCTTGTGGCACTGGTCTACTTTTGTCATATATGAAGGTAAATTAAAATAAAAAATTCCTGCCCCCCCCGAGTCTCTCAATCCACAGCCTGCCGCAAGTATGAGAAAAATGTATTTAAAATATCCCCCCCTTTTCTTTCTCCTTAAAAAGGACCCCAGGTGGCCGACATCATTAAAAGACCCTATTTTAAAGCCAGAAAAAGTAAGTATACAAATATTTAAAAGGAATCAAATACCACACTAAAAATGGTGAACAAAATCAACACTAAACGCAGATCCCGAGCAACAAGGCATGATTCATTTTTTTGAAAACCCAGTCAGGGAGCCAGTCGCTTGCCTGAAGAGAAAGGTCTTCACCTGCTTGTGGAAGGACAGCAAAGACGGGGCTAACCTGGACTCCAGTGGGAGGGAGTTCCAAAGTCTGGGGGCAGCCACAGAGAAGACCCTCTCCTGTGTCCCCACCAAACACCCCTCTGAAGGCAGTGGGACTGAGAGAAAGCCTCCCCCTCCTTCAGTGGTCTTAATACCCAGGAAGGCTCATAAAGGAAGATGGAATCCTTGAGATAGAAAACAGGCAGCAGTATAATGTGGATTCTTGTGCACGGGTGGGAGGGAGGGGGAAACACATTACCAAAAAGATCACAAAGATCTGCATAAAGTTCATCTGCATCTATATGTTGCCTGTTGATAATAATGAATAGGAATACAATCCCTGGTTCTCATCCTACAGCCCTCCAGATGTTTTGGATGTAAAGTTCCACCCAGCATGGCCCGTGATCACACATTCTGGACATTCTGGGCCAAAAACACATGGCATTCTTTGTGCAGAATATTTCAGGATTGTGGAGAAGACTGCGAGCCGTCTGATCTCATTGATGGGCCAAGCATGGCTCTACAGACTACGGTTCCCATCAGCCCCTACTGGCACGGGAGTTGCAGTTCAATAGCATCTGGAATGATGGACTTCACCCCGGCAAGGCTGGTGATTCCAGTGTCATGGGGACACTGAATTTGTACTAGGTTTTTAGCCTGAATTTTACAAGAATGATTCAAGGGACAGGACCTATTTGAGGAGGACAGGTCTCAGCACCTTGGATAGCTCCTCCAAAGTTCAGGCTGAAGCCTAAAGCCAACTCCCTGCCCCACATAAATCAGAGTAGCCATCCCCCCCCCACTGTTTTGCTCACCTCTCGGGCAGATGAAGATAACAACAACTGTGTTTGCATCATACAGCAAGACATCTGGGAATACTGGGCCTTGTGGAAGACGGGTTTGCAATTTGGGCCTTACTTCATTCATTTATTATATCATCTTAGAACTTCATAGCTGGAAGGGACCCTATGGATCATCAAGTCCAGCCCCTGTCAAAGAGGCACAGTGGGGAACCGAACCCCTGACTTCTGGCTCCACAGCTAGGGACCTAAACCACTGAGCTATCCAGCAGTTCATCCATCCATCCATTGATTCCACTATTTGTACCCTGCTTTCCCCCCTCCCACCCCAAGAGGACCCAAAGCAGCTTAGTTTTAAAAACACCAGTGTTAAAAAGCTATAAAAATTGCAGTAAATTATTCCAATATTAAAACAGCAATTGAACGAACGTCATATTAAAACCAGTGCAATAAAAGCAGTTCAGAAACAATTGAAAAACACAATAAATAATAAAAAGCAACAACATTCTTCTTCTTTTTTAAAAAAAACAAAAACAAACAAACTAGGCAGTTAGTGATGGGAACTTCCCTGTTAAGAGACAGGTCTGGCTTCCTGTGGGAGGGAGTTCCAAAGAGACAGGTCTTCATCTGCTGGTGAAGGGACAGCAAAGAAGGGAACAGTTTAGCTTCCTGTGGAAGGGAGTTCCACAGCTTGGGAGCAGCTACAGAGAAGTCCTATCATGTCTAGACCAAATACATTTCAGCAAGAAAAACATGCTGGATGGACCTCCACTGCCCAACACAGGGCTATACCACAAATTGTCTTCTCGAACTCAGAACCCTCTAGGGATGTTGGACTACAATTCCTATTAGCTGGCTGTAGAATGGTGGTGATTGTAGTCAGACAATTCTGAACGATGCCAGAAGGCTGTTGTTCAGCATGATAGGAAATATCCACTAGTGCAGCACCTCATAGCCTTCAAGCTTTGTGAGATATAAACCAGTCTAGTGTCGGCGTCACTCTTCAAAGACGCTGGAAGCTGACACGAGTTATTCTGAGGTCCATCTCTCTGGGGCACCTCCCTTTAAAGCTGTTGGCTCTATTGGCGCAAACATTTATAGGGAAAAGAATGTGTTGATTCTGTATTTCTCGCTGGCGTATTCCACCCCAGGGATGGCATGACCGTTAGACCGAGGCAGATATCTCGGGTGGAAATTGGTGGGACTGATCAGGAGAGACAGCAAAAAATTGAGAGCCAGTTTGTCCGATGTCCCTTGATCTGGTCTGTGGTCTTCAAGCGGGCCCTTCTCATTTCTCAGAAAAATGTCTTAGGCCGCTCTGTAATCTTAAAAAGGTGCCAGAGAGGAGGAACTATAGCAGATTAGCAAAGAGATTTGATGGGGATGGGGGGAGATTACACTGGTCACTAGTTTTAATATGGCATTTGTTTAATTGCTTTATAATGCTGCAATCATTTATTGTATTTTTATAGCTTTGAATATTGCCTGTTTTAATAGGGTAAGCCGCCTTTGGTCCTCCTGAGGAGAAAGGTGGGGTACACATAATAAAAGGAATGAATAAATGGATAAAGTGAAGGCCCAAGGAGCGAACCCGTTTCTCCATAAGGTTTAGTCCTGTTGCACAATTTTGAATTTTTAGTTCTATTCCTCTAGCAGTGCAGCAGAAGTACAGGGATTCACAGAGCAAAATAGCTTCAAGTTTCCCCCAGTGTAGTCCACCCCTCCCCCCCCTTAACTGAGACTAACACTCTCAATAACTCATGCTGAGACATCAGTAGGAGAAAGAATAAAAGGTTTCACTACTTACAGATCAAACAGCAAACTGACATACATGACTGCTTCGAACAACAGACTTTAACAGACTCTAAAAAAGGAAAAAGCACTCAGCAGAGAGGCAAGGTTCTCTATGAATTCAGAGCCAGGAGGTTGGAGCTGGATAGATTAACAGACACCCCAGCCCAGATACGTCCCTCCCAGCTAAAACTACTAAAGGCAGCATGCGAGGTTGCAAAAACTCCAACAAGAACTTCCAAAAATCTTGCTGTCTGAAACAGACACACTAGCTCTTATCTTCATCTTCTCTACAAATGGGCAAAGCAACGGGGGCCGGCTTGGATCTTGCATGAAATGTCATTCTGTCTTCTTCAGTTTGCCCTATTTCCCCTGGAGGGCTGTTGTTCCGGAAGCACCTTACTTGTCATCCGACAGCAGCTTTGACAGAACACAGAACCTCTGCTGGGGTTCGTAATCTTTCAAAGAGAAGTGGAAACGTGGCTTGCTTTTTCAGCGCTCCCGGTGAAATCCTGCTGCGATTGTCAATATTAATACAAACTGAGCTTGGGGCGAAGGGGGGAGGAAATCCACCTGACAAGGAATTCTAAAGGATAACAGCAGCCGCCCTCGTACCACACAAAGTTTTAAACAAGAGTCTTAATCTGACAGTTGTAAGAGCTTCCAACTAGGGGGGTTCAAATCCTTAGGATGCGATTCCGGGGAGAATCTCAGACAAGCGACTAAGAGGATTGGAATAAGTTGGCAAGCAAACACCAAGAATCCATGGAGAAAATATGCAGCTTTTAAAAACGGCCTTGTATATACATGTAGTTCCATGTCATTCCACTCTAAGAGGTCCGATGCAGTAGATTTATCCACAAATGCTCGCACTGAAATATAAGTCTTTAAGAGCTCACAGTGCTTCTGTGCT